TTTTTCGTTGTAATTTTCCGTCTTCTATTTCTCTTTCTTTTATCTTCTTCGGTTTTGATTATCCAACTGATTCTTCTTATAAGAATAGTTTGCTGCGTGATCGGTTTAGAACCGACATGTATATTCCATTATATATCTAGGTCTGAATCATCGATCGCCATTCGATGGCTACATTCAGTAATATTTAGATTTCAATGGTATCATATTACATGCGTCTGCATGTGTTTCCCGATTTCATTTATGTAAGTGGTTTTGAATAGAAACCCGTGTCTACCATACATACGTACACATATATATATATATATATATATATATATATATATATATATATGAAACGAATTTCTGGCAACCACATATACTTATGTCTGTTTTTTATGTTTCAACGAACATAATATATAGTTCATAACATATTTGCATATATGCGTTTTTTCTTCGAGCATTTGAATTCCAGTTTTTTTTTTTGACATCAGATTGCCAGGAAAAGGGTTTTCGAAATATGTTGACAAGAAGGGCGAACCGTTTGTTCTTCCCTTTTTTCTCATTCCTTTGTCTTCCTCGGTCTTTCTCCTTGTTCTTCCCTGTCGTTTTTTTCCATTGCTCTTTTCGTGTCTTCTTTTTCCTTTTTTCTTGTATCTAGCTGCTTCCCCGGTGGCTTGTCGAGGAGGCTCCTTCGGCCTTGTTGGAGACAGGCTTTTTCTTTCTCCCCGGGTGGAACTTTACATTTTGACGTGGCTTGGCGAAGATAACCGTGCTGCAGAGGTCCGATACTAAATGATATTCGGCCGCGTGCATGCGGCGAGGGAACATGGAAGAGAACTCGACCCATGGGTGCGCGCAACGAACTACTCATGAGTTTTGCAAGCGAGCCGAAGGAAGAGACAACGGGAAAGCGGGCGTACAATCTCTTTTGGATCCGTTCCCTCGGCCACGCTCTCAATGGCGCGGGGCGCCGTGGGCGCGCGTCGCTGGGTGCTCCACCGCGCCCTGCGCGGGGTATCCATGTCCCGCGGCTGGCCCGTCATGTTTCCGGGCGTCCGAAGTTACCGCCAGTGAACTCGAAGAGTTGTTGTCCGAGCACAGACGCCGTGGCGCATGATCGCATAAGCGATTGCGCGCGCAATCGAACTAGCTTGTTCTTCAGCTGTCAGCTCTCTGGGTGCCGTTTGCACTGGGTTCTCGCGTGCTTTAGGCATCGGTGTGACTGACGCGGTATCGCATTTCAACTTAGCCCTCTTACAGTTCAGAGAAGCGTCCTCGGTATTGCCCCCAAATTTCACAGCGTTTCGATAGCGGGCCTGCTGGGCGTGTCCGTCGGCGTGCTCATGTGGAGCAGCCCGGAAATTGACGTTGATTTGTTTTAATCTTGTTTCTTTTTTCCCTTTCTCGTCGTCCCCGCCCCACCCCGGTCCTGATGCTGTGCGGGGCGCAGTGGGGTCTTGCTGTAAGCCGCTGCGCGTTCGGCGCTTCCCGCTTCATCTCGTCCTCATCGCTCTCCTCTCTTCTTTTCTTTTTCGCCTCCGCCGCTGCCGTTCGTAGGGCCGCTCGTTTTTTTTTTTTTTTTTTTTTTTTTTTTTTTTTTTTTTTTTTTTTTTTTTTTCTCTCTCTCTCTCTCTCTCTCTCTCTCTCTCTCCCAGAGCGCCCGGAGACAATTTGCACACCTGGTGTTTTAGTGTATCCTCCCCTTCCCCGCATTCATTCTGCCAGTGTTCGCTCTCGTCTTCCTGTGCCCAGAATGCTGGCTTGGCCGTGGGTCAAACCGACGAGAGTTAGCAAAGCGGCGTCTCTGTTAGTTTTTTCGCTGATGCGTCTGCGTGCTGTGCAGGAGGGGGCCTGTCGTAGTTTCCCGTTGTTATACTTGTAAGTTCCTTGCTTGCTGTTCTGTTTAAGCGTTGCCAGAGAGGCCAGAGAACGCGTGGTGGGAGTCATCTACTGCTGCGAGGTTCATAGAACAAGTTCTCCGTATGTTGCGCCGCGTGGGCTTGGCCCCAGCGCTCGCGGGCGTGTTAATTGAGAAGTGCAGTTGTGGCGAAGCCTAGTGGGGTCATTGCGCGGTGTTTTCCTTGAGGTCGGTAAAAAAGTAAAAATATTTGAAACGTTGAAGCGACGCGAACAGTTTTCTGGAAACATATCCAAAACATAACCATGAAGGATAACGTCGCATCCAAAACAGATTTCACCAGGGGCGCGATTCGCGTCATGAAATCAAATAAGGCTTTCATGAAGGAGGAAATCTAGGCGTCCGTCGACCCCCTGAAAGGCGAAATCGCAGAGCTACGTGTCGCATGGCATGAATCGAGCAATTTTTGGCGAGAGCGTACCAGGTGATTGGATTGGACATGTCATGCATGGTCACCGGAGTTCTCAGACCGTCTCCAAGGTTTCGCACAGTGAATTCAGTAGATTATCAGGCCGTGATCACTTTTTCGAGTGTTGCATGAATGCGGCTTGCCCCCATAGGGAGTTCCAATTGAGGTTATAGTGGCGCAGCCCGCATGGCGGTGCCGCCCCATTTTTGCATCTCTCACACGCTTCGTGGCCCCATAGGGAGTTCCACCCAAGGTCTTAGTGGCGTGGCCCGCATGGCGGCGCCGCCCCATTTTTGGGATACCCTGCACACGTTTCGTGGCACCTTAGGGAGCTCCACTGCAGATCTCAGTGGCGCAGTCCGCATGGCGGTGCCGCCCCATTTTGGCACGCTTCTGACGCGCTTCGTGGCCCCATAGGGAGCTCCACCTAGAGTCCCAGTGCGCGGCCCGTGTGGTGGCGCCGCCCCATGTTGGAACGCCGCCCTCACACGTTTCGTGGCACCTTAGGGGCCTCGGGGCTCACCCTAAGGTCCCCGTGGCGCCGTCGGCATGGCGGCGCCGCCCCCTTTTGGCACACCTCTCACGCGCTCCGTGGACCCATGGGGAGCTCCACCTGGAGTCCCAGTGGCGCGGCCCGCATGGCGCCGCCGCCCCATTTTGGAATGCCCCCCTACACGTTTCATGGCACCATAGGGGGCTCCACCGCAGGTACCAGTGGCGCAGTCCGCATGGCAGCGCCTCCCAATTTGGCGCACCCTTCACGCGTTCCGTGGCCCACAGGGAGCTTCACCTAAGGTGCCAGTGGCGCAGTCCGCATCGCGGCGCCGCCCGATGGTGGCACACCCCTCCCACGTTTCATGGCCTCATAGGGAGTTCCATTCAAGGTCCCAGTGGCGCAGTCTGCATGGCGGCGCCGCTAACGCCCCTCACGCGTTTCGTGCCCCCATCGGAGATCCACCGTGGGTCCCAGTGGCGCAGCCCGCATGCGTCCCCGCCACTCATTTCGGCAGGCCCTTCACGCGTTTCGTGGCTCCAGAGGAGTTCCGCCCAAGGTTTCAGTTGCGCAACCCGCCCTTGTCCCGCCATCCATTTTGGCGCGCCCCTCACGTTTCGTGGCCTCGCAGTGAGCTCCGCCGGAGGTCCAGTTGCGCAGCCTGCATGCGCCCCCGCCACCCATTTTGTCACTTCCCTTATACGTTTGGTGGCTCCATATGGGGGCCACACCGAAAGTCCCACTTGCGCAGCCCGCATACGTCCCCGCCACCCATTTCGGCACACCCCTCACACGTTTCGTGGCCCCACATGCAGCTCCACCGCAGGTCCCAGTGGCGCAGTTTGCATGCGTCCGCGCAACGACATGGTACACCTCTCACGCGTTTCGTGGCCTTACAGGGAACCCCAGTGAAGGCCCCAGCGGCAGTGCCCACATGCGTTCCCGCCACCCATTTTGGCACGCACCTCACGTTTCGTGGCCCCATACAGAGCTCCACCGAGGGTCCCAGTGGCGGTGCCCACATGCGTCCCTGCCATCCATCTCGGCAGACCCCGCATGCGTTGCGTGTCCCCGTAGGAAATTCGACCGAAGACCCGAGTGGCAGTGCCCACATGTGTCCCCGCCAACCATGTCGGCACACACCTCCCGCGTTCCGTGGCCCCAGAGGATTTCTGCTGAAGGTCCCAGTGGCGCAGTCCACAAACGCCCCCGTCACGCATTTCGGCACCCCACACACGTTTCGTGGCCTTATACGTAGCTCCACCGATGGCCCAGTGGTGGTGCCCGCACGCGTCCCCGTCATTCATTTCGGCACACCCCTCACACGCTTCGTGGTCCCACAGTCACCGGAAACGGTATTCACTTTTGCGTTACTCACAAATGCATAGGTTTGCGTCCTCTTCCTCGCCTTCCTTCGTGCCCCCCTCCATCCTCCATCCCCCTCTTCCTCCCGTCCTCCTCCTCCATTTCCTCTCCTCATCCTCCTTCTCCTGTTCCTTTCTCTTCCTCCCCTGCCTCCCCGACCTCCTTGTGCCTCCCCTTCGTTCTTCCTTTTCCATCCTAGTCCTATTCCTTCCTCTGCAACGTTTCCAGGCATCCGCATGTTTTCTTTTGGGGGGGATCTCTCTTTTGTATTTGCTCTCTTATATTTGATGCGCTTTGTTCTCTCTCTCTCTCTCTTTCTCTCCCTGTGTCTTTCTCTCCATGCATGTGACTTTGCGTTTTTATATATATATATACATGCATACACACATTCATTCATTCATTCATTCATTCATTCATTCATTCATTCATTCATTCATTCATTCATTCATTCATTCATTCATTCATTCATTCATTCATTCATTCATACACACATACATACATACATACATGCACCTATATACATACACACATCCATCCATCCATCCATCCATCCATCCATCCATCCATCCATCCATCCATCCATCCATCCATCCATCCATCCATCCATCGATACATACAACATACATACATACATACCTACCTACCTACCTACCTACATACATGCATGCATGCATGCATACATACAAACGTGTATGTATAAAGACAATCCGCGGGCCCAGAGCCCCCGACCATTTCTCAGGGGGGTTTTCGCTCCAGCTCCATTTTTGATGGTCCTTGGGCCCGAAAACGGCTGGGCCCTGCCTTGTCCTTTCGTTCTCCCCCTTCCTCTTCCGCAGCCGCCGTGACTCTAAAGCGTGCGTTCCGTGTAGCATACTGTCTCTTCGTGGCGCTCTCTGCGCTGCGTGCCGTGGCCTGCGCCAGCGCGCTCCTCGGCGCGTCCGCGGTAGCGCTGCGCAGCCGCCCGGAGGAGCAGGACTTCTCTAAGCCAGCACCCGCAGACCTCGAGAGGCTCGGGGGTACGAGGAGGGAAAGGCACCGATACCGCTGCCCTATCCTCGTTTTCGCCTTTCTCGGGCCTCCTGGGAGGCCCTCGTCGCCACGGCTGGATTCGCCTCGAAAGTTCGTCGCCACGGCTGGATTCGCACCCCGGGAGGTGTCTCTTGGGAGTAGTGGTGCAGGTATATTTTGATTCCTCTCGCTTCGCGGGGTGCACGTCCGGAACACGTACAGTCCAGTCGTTGCGGTGCCTCTTGGGAGCTTCTCTGTGGCCTCTTGGAGGTGTCTTGGAGGCTTCTTGGGGCCTCTTCTGCACTGGGCTTCTTTGAGGCCTCTTGGGGCCTCTTGGGGGCGTCTTGGGCCGTCTTGGGGCGCTCTTGCAGCGTGTGGCCCATTCTGAGGCCAGTGTTTAAAATGCGCGCGGTGCTCGGCAGTGTTTATGCGACAAGCGGTGCACAGCTCTCAGCGTCACAAAGCAGACTTGCTCTGCCCCGCTTGCTGGCGGGCAGAGGCGAAGCCGATCCAGACTGGTAATCGCCGCTGTGCGAGTGTTCAAATGTGGAAGGTGTGGGCGTTGGTTGGCGTGGCCTGCCCGGCTGCCGCGCGTGCGTGCCGCTCCGTCCTGCCATCCCCAGGGCTTCTGGGCGGCCTCATGGGGGGCTCTTGGGAGCCTCTTGAAAGCCTCGTGGGGGTTTCTTGGAGCGTCTTTGGGGCCGCTTTGGGGCCACTTGGGGCTTCTTGTTGACGTTTTGTGCCAGCTTGGGGCGCTCTTGCGCCGTCTGGCCCCTTCGGAGGCCATCTTGGAGGCCTCTCGCGGCCGCCTTAGGGCTCTCTTGGAGTCCTCTTGGGCCGTCTTGGGGGCCCCTTGGGCCGTCTTGGGGGTGTCTTTTGGCCGTCTCGGGGCCCTCTTAAGCAATTGTGGGGTCCCTTTGAGGGCCTCTTTGGTCGTCTTGGGGTCTTCTAGGAGGCTGCTTGGGCCGTCATGGTCTTCTGAGAGCCGAAAAAGGCGAGAACGCTGACATCTTTCAAAAACCAACGGGAAATCAATGATTTTGGCTCCTGGAGGCACTCTTTCGAGTCATCTTAGGGCCCCCTTGAGCCGTCTTGGGGGCCTCACGGGCCCTCTTGGGACCATCCAGGGCCGACTTAGGGCTGTCTTGGGCCGTCTTGGGGCTATCTTGGGCCCTCTTGAGGCCCTCTTGGAGTCCGAAGAGGCCCGAGAGGCCGAACTTGATGATTTTTTCATTTGTTTTTTGTAAGTTTGGAGCCCCCAAATGAGGGCCTCCAGATTTGGTACGGCGGAGTGGCGCGATTCCAAAGAAAAGGACTGGGGGGAGACATAATATTGTAAATCAGTGCAATTTGTGGCAATTATACAACGATTGGGTACATTGGATACGTTGCATGATCGCCTCCGCAGAAAAGGCTGCCTCTCAGCACGTCACTTCCGGACGTGGACTCCTCTCGCTTCGCGGGGTGCACGTCTGGACCACTTGCAGCCCAGTCGTTCTGAGGCCTCACAAAGGGGGCCTCTAGGGTGCCTCCGGGGGCCTCTAAGGGCCTCGTGGGGGCCTCTCGGGGCGTCTTGGGGGCGTCTTGGGCCGTCTTTGGAGGACGCCGTCGTCAGCGTGGCTGGCTGCGGTGAGCGCTCTGTCGGCGTCTGCACCTTTGTCTTGCCGCGCGGCGCACCTGCGCCCCCTGGATTGCGAGGTACTTCGGAGGCGCGAGAGATTTTTCGGAGAGCCCGCGCGGGGGAATCTCCAAAGCTTCGCATGGCCTCGACAGGCGCTTCGGGCTTCCCTGGGCCGTCGTCTGGGATTCATTTTGTGGGCCATCTAGGGTGTCGGTTTGCGTTTGTGCGCATTTGTCAAAGTTGCACGCATCGGTTGGGCCTCTTGGGGGCTTCTTGGAAGCCTCTTTTTGGGGGCCTCTTGGGGCCTTTTGTGGGCCTCTTTGGGGCCTATTGGGCGCGTCTCGGACCGTCATGAAGCGCTGTGGCGCCGTCTGGACCCTGCGGGCGCCGTCTTGGAGGCTTCTTGGTGCCACTTTGGTGCTCTCTTGGGGTCCTCTTCGGCCGTCTTGACGGCTTCTTGGACAATTTTTTTGGCCTGTTCTGGGTAATCTTGGGGTCCCTCTGAGGCTATCTGGGGGCCCCCTTGGGCCGCAAGGGGGTCATTTCGAAGGCTGCTTGGGCCGTTAATATGGGCGGCCGAAACTTCGAAATTGCGAGAACGCCTAAATATCATTCAACAATCCATGGAAAATCATTGTTTTTGGCCTCTGGAGGCGCTCTTGGGAGTCTTTCGGGGCCCCTCATTTTGGCTTCTGGGGCCCTCTTGGGGCTATCTTGGGCCGTCCTGAGGCCATCCAGGGTCGTCTTGAAGCCATCTTGAGCCGTCGGGATTCCCCTGTGGACTCCAAAGGGGCCCATGGGGCGAACATCAAGCATTTTCTACAGATTTTGGCTAGGTTTTGCAACTTCGCACAAGTGGGTCGGCGACTCGGCGGGGGCCTTGGGGTGGGAGGGGGGTTGCTTTGCAATGTATAAGAATGCCACGTTTTGCAGTGGGCCTTCCTTGACGCGTGGTGGCTGGGCCATTGCGTCACACACCCGTCCTGTCGCACTGCCGAGACGCTTGGCTGCAGTCCGGACGTGGATTCAAGTGGCTTACGCCATTCCGCCGACCCACAGCGGAGTAGTGACGCCTACTGCGTTCGGTAGGCTATGCTGGAGCTGGAGTGGCTGGGGGTTTTCTTCGCGCCCGCGAGGGTGGAAGAGAAGGAGGAGGAAAAGCAGGAGGCGGTGGAGGAAGAGGAGCAATCTATGAGAAACGGTGCCAGTATGGTTTGAGTTCTCCAGAGGGGGCGTCAAAGCTGACCATCTCCACGGGCCCCCCGGCAAAGGGCCGCTCTCGGGTCCGGGATCGGCGGACACGCCCCCCGTCTAGGGGAACAAAAAGTGACATAAACATAAAAACTCGGAGGTCCGCGCGGATTTCTCGGATCGGCGCCGCCCCTGGCGCGCTTCGCGCCGCAGGGAGGGGGGTCCAGCGCCGATCCGAGAAATCCGCGCGGACCTCCGAGTTTTTATGTTTGTGTCACTTTTTGTTCCCCTACTGTCGGAGCAGCGGAGCGACACGTTCGCACGATTTTTCTTCGGAGCCTCGCGCGCATCTCCTGCATTGGCGATGGGGCTCCCCCTGCGCTCCGCGCGGAGGGATCCTCACAGCAATGATGAAGACGTGGCTTCTCACTGAGGTCCCCGTCCTTGCACTAGGGATCATAGCTACGGGGCTGCTTGGTTCGATGCTTCGGCAGAAAAAAGACCCCCCATCCCTGATGTGTTGGGCCTTCCTAACTTGGGTCCCCTCCCAGAGGGTTAGGGGTCCTTTTTATAGCTAATCAAGGGAAGGGGGTCATGCCGATCGTGCATGCCCGCGGAGCTCCGGATGCTTGGGATCGTGCGGAGCGCTCTGTGCCTCCATGCACGCCCCCCTGGCCTGGCCAGGAGGGTACAACAGCCATCCTGGAGTACCCGTGGACCCTCTTGGGATGGCAGTGGTCCGAAAAAGGAGAGAGTACGCCTTCCACGTAAAGTCCGCACAGGAAATCTACGGATTTGCACAGGAAATCTACGGATTTGGCCTCTTCGGGCTCTCCTGGCAGTCCTCTCGTTATGAGAAGAATCGTGGAGGCCTCGCGCGGCGCGCAACAGTTGTGTTATCCAGTCCGCACGTCAGCTCCGTGAGCCACGGGTCGACGCTCGCGCGGCGATGCTCCGGCGGCAGTCCGACGCAACTCGCAATTCCGACGTAATCCGACGTGCACGCGACGTCAGTCCGGCGTGGATCCGACGCAAAGCGGGTCTTCAGCTGCCGCACAAGGCCTCCAGGAGCTTCTTCGTGACTCCCGGGTGCCGGGACCGGGCTCTGCCGGGCCAGGGTCGGGGAGGCGGCGGGGCGGCGTGCCTCCCCCCCCAGAGGTGGGCCCACGGCCCGCTCTTCTCCGCGAGCCACTCGCTGTACCACGCGACCGTCAGGAGCCAGGTCTCCCTCCCCCGTCCCCTGTCGCCTCGTCGCTCGTCCCCCGTGCTGAGCCCGAGCCTGATCGCGGTCCTTCTCGCGTCGTGTGGCCTCCTCGTGGTCGGCTCGCCTCTGGGCGACGGGTGATCAGGCTCGGGAACGATCCGGGCACGGTCGCCTCGTCTCCATCCAGAACGTGTCCGAGCTTGTGTCCTCGTCGTCTCCCCCATCTTTGGTTAATTCAAGCTTCGCGGCCCGCTTAGCTTCGACTGGAAGAGGTGCGCTCTCGGATTCCCAGGCTCGTGGCACGGCGCCCGAACGTTCTCGGGGGGACGCCAACAAGACACCACCATCACCGGCTCTGGCCTATCCTGGGCCCAGGACGGGTGCATAGACTTCGAGGCCCAGGCCAGGAGGGCCTGTCCACCAGTCCAGGGCCCAGGATGGGCCTGGCCAGGGCTGGTGGTGGTGGTGTATTGCTTGGAACTCTCCCACTTCTGTTGGATCTTCAGGGGACGTCGTATGCCCAACGCCAGGTCCACGAGTACAACCTGACCATTGCCACGTTTGATCGCTGGGAGGATTCAGGGGTTTGGAGCCAGCTGGGGGGCTGAGGCCGCCCAGCTCTGGTTCGGCCATCATAGATGGGGGAGAAGGGGGCCCCCTCGTCGCCACGGCTGGACGCGGCGCGAAACATGCGTCAGTTTCGTCGCCAGGAGAGGTCTGGTGACATATTGAGAGCGAGGTGCCGATGGGGTCCCTGACAGCCTGCACCGCTCAGGAAAGCGCAGATTCGCTATAGGGGGCGTATCGCTGTTCTATCAGCGATGTATCGTTGACTGCAGGTTGGTGCTCCCCCCAGAGCCAGTCACCACCCCCCAACGTTCCCCCCTCAAAAGGGTCCTCGTTATCATCGCAATTTTCTGGGTCCCTGGGCCCGCCCTGGGCTGTGCGACTGTCTCAGGATGGGAACAGCAATAATCCAGGGGGAGAGGCCTGGTGTCCAGGGCCCGTTTGCCTGAGGATCCCCTTCCCTCATGCCCAGGATCAAGGGGTCTCTGGCGAGATCCTCTCCGAGAATGGTTGGGAGACAACCCACATCGCCACGCTGTGCCAACATTACCTCGAGTACGGTGAGATCGGCAACTTCCTCGACGTCGGCGCGAACATTGGTAGCTTCACCATTCCGATGGCGGACTGCCTCCGCCATCGCCGACCATTTCACGGCAGTAGGGTGATTGCCGTGGAGGGGATGCCGCCCACCGCCGACCACCTCGCGATGGGCATTCTGGTGAACAATCTCCCCAACGTGGACATGTACATGTACGCCGTGGGGATGCCTGGCGACCCGAAGAAGGTTACCATGTCACTGAACCCTGTTAACAAGGGTGGCTCGTCCGTCAAGGGCAACAAGCCGTTCACCGAGATGAGCGACGACCAGCTGCAGGATCTGTTCCACCCAGGCAAGAAGGGGCGATTCGCACAGAAGGTTGTTGTGGAGGAGTACGAGGTGCCGCTTACGACTGGCGACCTCATGCTCAAGTACAACCCGGCGCTGAAGGCCATCCTGATCGCCAAGGTCGACATCGAGGGCCACGAGGGCCACTTCCTCAAGGGCTCCCAGAACCTGTTCTCCAAGTACCCCCCGTGCATCATGACCATCGATCTGATCCTGGAGTGGCTGGAGCGCGCTGGCACCCCGGTGGAGGAGATTCTCGACCTGCTGACCGGGTGGGGCTACGGCAACGTCCCCACCGCCGCCAACCTCATGGCGTCGAACGAGAAAGGCAAGACCAAGACCCTGCGGCAAAAGAACTTCACGGCGTGCCTCGAGCGCGTCGAAGCCAATTTCCAGGAGAACTTGATCGCGGAGAGCCGCGAGGCCGGGGCTCCGGGCCACGCCGTCCTGGGCGACATCCAGGCAGGGGAGGCTCGGGCGAAGGAGTTGGACGCCCTGCTGCTGCGATCATGAGCAGCTTCTAGCATCAGCTGATGGATGTGCGGGGGCGTGAGGTAGTTCCTTGCCCTTCGCTCCAGGCTTTCTTCGTCCCGCTCTGTCCCCTCTGCGCCAGATGCTCTGTTTGAGAATTTTTGTTTGAAAGCCGTGCAGACGATCTCGGCAATATCTTTTCGCGGAGTTTCTTGTTCGGAAGCAAGTTCTGCTGTCTAGATATCCCGGGTTGTACCAGATCTTGCAAGCGACGGAGTTTGCATCGCTTGAAGGACATGTTGATCATCTGCTTCTTTCTCTCCTCGTACGCGCTCCCGTGTCCAGGCGGGGTGCAGAGGGAAGAGGAAGGAGAAGGAGGTCGGGATGATGATGCTGATGATGACGACGATGATGATTCTGATAATGATGATGCTGCTGATGACGATGCCGATGCTGCTGATGATGATGATGGTGCTGATGGTGATGATGATGATGGTGATTGTGATGGTGATGGTGATGGAGAGGGTGAAGGTGACGGTGATGATGATGATGCTGCTGATGACGATGACGACGATGATGATCATGCGGGTGATGATGATGATGATGATGATGATGATGCTGATGTTGATGATGATGATGATGGTGATGATGATGCTGATGATGGTGATGACGATGATGATGGTGATGATGATGAGAAGCCCTCACACCGAACAGTCCATAAAGTTGAATGTTGCAACAGTCCAACTGATGGGTTGCGGCAAGTATGCGTAATGCCCGCCCTCTGAGCCATCTGCCCCTGGTGCGTCCGTTGAAAAATATCACCAGACCCGCCAGATCATTCAGGGCCCGCCAGGTTGACCAGACCGCAAGGCCACGGGTCATATTCTGGAGCAAACCGTAACCCCACTGGGCCGGACCTCACGGCCCAACGCACTGATTTAGTGTCTCCCAGACTCTCAAATCGTTGTTTGGAGGATGCCGCTGCTCAGAGCCTTAAGCTCCTCTTTTTATTCAAGGACTCGGCCTCTTGCCTCTCCTCGTCTAGATCCTTTTTCCCCTTCCTCCTCCTTTTCTAGATCCTCATTCTCCTCCTCCTCCCTCCTCCCGCCTCACCCCCTTCCCCCTTCGCCCTCTCTCTTTCCTCTCCTATCTCATCTCGCACCTCTCCACAATCCTCCCTTCTCTCTCTCTCTCTCTCCCTTTCCGCCCCTCTCTCCCGTTTTTGTCCTGCTGCTCCTCCATCTCCTCCTCTCCTGGTCTTCTCCCCCTCGCTCCCTCCCTCCTCGCTCTTCCCCCGTCCTCCGTCCTGCTTCAGCCATTCCTCTTCCCTCCACCTAAACTCCAAAGGTGTATGGAGGAAGACGAAGATGGTGGGTATCGAACGATTGGGACTTGCTGTGCAAATTCCACGCGGCAAGTTTGAGCGAGCGTTCTTCATATCTGTTACCATCATTAGTAGTGCCGCTTCTTGGAAGCTGCAGTAACGCAGTGGCTACTAATGATTTATGCAGTCAGTTGTCCTGCGTGACTCGGGTATCGTTCGGGGCAGTAGTTGATGTACCTGCTAATGCCGTGACCGTCCGTTTTCCTATGACACTTTGGAGTATTGCTCGGGGCAGTCTTGTATGTATATTCGCGTCGTGATTTTATGATTCCAGCTCAGAAGCACTAGTTTCTTGGCAAGGAGGTCGAGCTTTGCATCCGACACGTGCGCATCCATTCGGACGGTGAAGCATATGTTCGATTGAGCTGGGTTCGTATTGTGGGATGTACGTGCGGAAGGTCGGATACGGTTAGTTGCTTGCATGGCTGCTGTGTTAATTGGATGCTCTGACAGACAACAGTATTGTCACCGCCAACATTAACGTTGCACGTGTTTTGCACACTGGCTACTTTAGTCTCGCTGACCTTGTTAGGCCTACTTCTTTCGCCGTCAATTATGGTCTCTTTGCTCGAGCGTGCTTGCGTGATCGTAGGGGTGCTCCGCGCCGCGACATGGGGGCGGCATCGAGTTGTGATTGCTGCCCGTGGGCGACGTTCAGGCATTCGGCAATCGGTGGGGGACTTCTAGCTTTGAGCTCTCCGTTTTGGATGCATCTGTATATAGGTGCAGATTTCATATCTCCATCTGACGGGATGTTCGTGGTCCTATGCGGTCCACCGTCTTGTCTTTGCCTGACCAGTGCAATCTCATGTTAGTCACCCTTGGACTTCCTCAACCATTTGTTGCATTCATGGGATCCATGCTTCTGCTTTCAGTTTTTCTATTGCTGTGGAGTGCCTTGAGTTGACCTTGTCTTCGACTGTCCTGATTGTCCTTGGCCTAGGCGCTGCCTGCTGCTCTTCGTTGCTGGTCATAACCTCGGTTCGGTACTGTCCCCGACACTCCCAGGACCCCTTGTTGCCTTCCGTTGTTACCACTGCCTTTGCTCTGGCCTTGTCCTTGACTGTCCCTGGCCCTGGCGCAGCCTTCCCTTGCCGCCGACCTCTCTGCTCGGGCCTCGCCCTCGACTGTTACCAGCTCGGGTGCTCTCTCGCGCGTTCTCGTCGTTTTCCCTGCCTCGGCCCTGTCCCCGCTTCCCCCCCCCGACTGCACCTCGCGCTGTTGCTGCCGTTTCTCGCCGCCCGTCTCCTGGGCGCCCGGTCTTGTCCCCGACGGTCCTTGGCCCGGGCGCCGCCCAAGACGCTGCCGCCGAGCTCCTTGCTTCGGCTCTGCCGCTCCCGCTGCCCCTCGCCCGAGGCACGTAGGAGCATGGACAATTCACGACTGCTCTCTCAATCGCTCGGGCCGAATCCCGTCGAGGCGGCTCAAATTCGCCTCCACACACATGTATATGTGCGTGTATATATATATTTATATACACACGTGCATCCACATGTACATATACGTATGTACATATGCGTATGCATACACTTATACACCAGGGTAACCATCTTCATACACATATATATCTACACATTTGCACACACATGCATTTTCACATATACATATACATATACATACACACATACACACATACATGTACATATACACGTATGTGTACATACACATACACATACACACATACATCAATATACATATGCTTATACCTATACTTGTATAGGTATATATATATGCAAATGAACATGCATGTGCATATGCACCATCATATTCACATCTACATCTGCATCTACATCTGCATCTGCATTTACATCTACATCTACATCTACATCTACATCTACATCTACATCTACATCTACATCTACATCTACATCTACATCTACATCTACATCTACATCTACATCTACATCTACATCTACATCTACATCTACATCTACATCTACATCTACATCTACATCTACATCTACATCTACATCTACATCTACATCTACATCTACATCTACATCTACATCTACATCTACATCTACATCTACATCTACATCTACATCTACATCTACATCTACATCTACATCTACATCACATCTACATCTACATCTACATCTACATCTACATCTACATCTACATCTACATCTACATCTACATCTACATCTACATCTACATCTACATCTACACATCTACATCTACATCTACATCTACATCTACATCTACATCTACATCTACATCTACATCTACATCTACATCTACATCTACATCTACATCTACATCTACATCTACATCTACATCTACATCTACATCTACATCTACATCTACATCTACATCTACATCTACATCTACATCTACATCTACATCTACATCTACATCTACATCTACATCTACATCTACATCTACATCTACATCTACATCTACATCTACATCTACATCTACATCTACATCTACATCTACATCTACATCTACATGTACATCTACATCTACATCTACATCTACATGTACATGTACATCTACATCTA